GTGGGGCCGGGTGCAGCTCAGGAGGCTCGACGAAAAGCCAAGAACAGACAGCGGGGTACGGAGAGTTTGTCTCAGGGTTCGCAGAGATTCCTCCTGCCTTCCCACGATGCCACCTTATTTTATTAGGATTAATCATTTCTATCTAGCAAGAATAACATTTTGCATTTGCGATGTTATTTTACAAATCTTCACTGGGAAAAGGTCGGTGTTATCTTCATCTCCTGTTCCTTGTGGCCAACAAACTCCCCAGTCACCTCTTACAAGAAGGCCACCAGGATTACCCCCATATCAGACTCTTTTTTTTTGCCACCTTTTAGCAAGAACTATTCCGTTTACATTGTTTATAAAACATGTCCGTTAAAAAAAAAATCTGATGTTAAGAAAAGGGGGGAGGGATGTCATGAAGTCATATGTATGCATTCTGTCTTATTAATTGGATTTGATGACCTGAAGGTCCTTTTCTTTTCTCTTCTTTTCTTCCTTTCCCTTCCCTTCTCTTCCCTTCCCTTCCCTCCCTTTCCCTTCCCTTCCCTTCTCTTCCCTTCCCTTCCTTCTCTTTCTTTCTTTTCTTCTTCTCCTCTTCCTCCTCCTCCTTCTTTTTTTTTTGTATTCCCCAGTGCCTTGCATTTGCTCTTCTAACAAAGTTATTTGTTGACAGACTGACCTGGCTTACTGAAGTAAAGATGGGGAGAAAACAGAGAGATAGATCAAGGCCCTTCGTTGGCATCTGGGGGAAAGTGGATCGAATGCCCTGCATGCCAGGTAAGCTCGTTCTGCAGCCGAAAGCAGCTTTGCGTCTCCATTGCTTCCCCCACCCTGCCCCCAGACAAACCCTAGTAATAATCGCACCGCACACATCATCGCTGAACTTTTTCTCTTTGTCTGAAAATTGTGGGTTTGCCTAGTTCCCACCTGTCAACAGGTGGGATCTGTTGGGACCCTGAAGACCCACAGGGTTTGCATGTGAAATACATCCTCAGTCCTTCTTGATGTTTCTCTGGGGTGAAAATAATGTTCCCATGAAATCCAAGTGGTGGAGAAGGAGCCGCCCTGGGCTTTGGAAGTGTGTGTTGCTAATTTGGATACCTGACCTACTCTCTCCCTCAGTCCTGGCTCAGAAGCGGGTCTGGAAACCTCAGCAGCGTCTCCGTTGCAGGCTCCGGATCCGGGAGGTGCGGATCCGCCCTCCATCTATTGGATGGCTCCCCGGGCCATTGGTAGAAATGGCTCCCAGGCCAATTGTTAGAAAGAGGCATATGTTCATCTCGGCTTCTGGAGTGTCTCCGGAGCAGTTGCTCAACAGCCAGCCCCCTCCCCCATCCAGACCATTGAAGGGCAGAAAAAAGGAGCGCCCTCCGCCGCATTTCTCTGTGCCCACATGCCAGAAAGGGCCTCCTCATGGGTGACTTCTGGTCATCTCCACTGCCCACCTCCTGGGAACAGGAAAGAAAGGGGTTTCTAGCAAGCAGCTTTGGAGCACAAAAGCCACCCCTTTCCTTTTGGGGGAGATAGCAGAGGAGGTTAGTTGCAGAGGCTGAAGGAGCAAAGGAGACATTTCCATTTTTCCGGCAAATATGCCCTGGATCACTGACTTCCCAGCGGGCTCCAGCGAGCTCAGAGCTTTCTGCAGAACTCTTATCTCCAACTTGGCAACTAGACCGTGAGCTTGGGAAACAAGGGGAGGACAGGGATGGTCACCCAGCAAGAACCTTGTGTACGCCAAGCGCTGGGCCTGGCATGTTCCTATCCATCATCTCATTTAATTCCCTGGACAGCCTTGTGAGGTGGGATTTACTAAAAGTGAAACAGTGTCAAAGAATTCCCCAAACTCACACAGTCTGGAGGCCAGGGGTTTGAATTAGGATCAGGTGGGCTGCCAATTCTTTGCCTTCACTCCTACATCCCGCTTCCTGGAGGCTGTCTAGAGCCCAGGTGGAGCAGTCAGTCTGCCTGGATTTAAGTTCCTACTCTGCTAGCTGTGCGATCTTCCGCCAAGTGGCTTCATCCTTTGGGCCTCAGTTTTATCCTCTGTTAAATGGGGACAACAGTGGTACCTACTCTGGGGGGTTGCTGCAAGGATGGGCAAGAAAGGCTTAGCCCAGTTAAGTGCTGGCAGTATAGTAAGTGGCCAATAAGTGCTGTTATTGTACTGTGCCTTCTAGTTCTTTCCCTTTTGCCTAACATCTGTGCCTCAGCTCACTTCAGGTTCAATACTACTTGGTGACTGATTAATTTAAAAACCAGACTGAAGGGATAAGGGAGGTCTATAAACTCAGGAAAGGGAGGGAAAGGAAAATGCATATTTGTTCTCAAAATCCCACCCTCCAGGGAACCAGCAGTTAGCGTAATGGCTATGTTGCTGGACTCCCACGTAGTCGACCGTGGTTTGCGTCCCGGACACGGTGGCTTAAAACTCACGCCGGGTGCGTGTGCGTGCGTGCCCAAGATCCCGAGAGGAGAATGGAGGAGAAGGGATTGCGGCATGACCATCCCCCCGGGGGGTGATTTCTTGATTTCTGTCTCTCTGTCTCTCTCTGTCTGTCTGGCGAGTGCACGCCCCCTATAGTGAAAACCTCTCAAAAAAAAAAAGAAAAAAAAATTGCACCCTCCAGAGGAGCAAATAAGGGAACAATACAAGATGATCACTTTTTACAGGTCAGCCTGTGAACTAACAGGTGGTCACCAGAAACATATCAAATACTCCAGATAAACTCATTGTAAGTTGAAAATATCGTCAGTCGAAAGTACATTTAATACCTATCATACATCATAGCTTAGCCCAAGCTGCCTTAAACATGCTCAGAACACTTATGTTGGTCTACAGTTGGGCAGAATCATCCGACACAAAGCCTATTTTATAATGAAATGTTGGATATCTCATGTAATTTATTGAATACTGGACTGAAAGGGAGAAACAGAATGGTTGTATGGGGACTTGGAAGTAGAGTTTCTACTGCATGCGCATTGCTTTTGCACTGTTATAAAGTCGAAAAACCATGAATTGAACCATCATAAGTCAGGACCATCTGTACTCAATATGTGTGTAGAAAAGTTAAAAATCACAAGATTTTGCTTAAGAATGGAGAAGTGTTCATAATACTGAATAATAGAAAGCAATCTAAATGTCCATGGTAAGAGTACCTTGGTACCTTGACACTAAAAACCAACAAAATCCTGATTTCAAAAACTGTTTTATTGGGGCTGGCAGGTGTTGTGGTGGGTAAGGGGGCTGGACTCCCACATGGCTGATCACAGTTTGAGTCCTGGACCCAGCGGCTTGCTTTCTCCCTCCCTGCCTCCTATCTCTCACACACACTCTGTCCCTATCTGGTCAAATTAAAACAAATAAATAAAGTTAAAATGAAATAATTCTTAAAAAGACCTGATTTATTCATGGGAAAATGTTCACAACAAATTAAGTAAAAAAAATACTCAGTACAAAGTTGCATAAATATGATGCCAAGTTGTGAAGGGCACAAAGTGT